CAAGAGAAAGTTACTGAAATCAGTCTCTTGTCCAATCAAAACTGTCGTTATGGCTTGTGTAGGGAGGGCTCAGCCAGTTTATGGTAATGGGTCAGCTGCAAGTGCTTCAGCATTGATTATCTCAAGGCCAGTGCTTGTTTAGCTAGAGGAAAAAAAGGAAGAAGAAAAAAACCTGTGGCAATTAGAACATAGTTTATTCTTTAAGTTGAGGGGTGCACAACTTAACTTTGCCTCGTATGGTCTTAGGTCTTGTTTATAATATAGTATCTTACTATGGTAAGGAGTCTGTTCTGTCAGTCTTATGATCTTTATTTTAACAATAATGCTGGTCAGTTGTGTCTAACCCACAAAAGGGAAAGAGTATAAGGACAGGTGTCTGATCTTCCAAATACTGGTCAGGAACTCAGTATTTAAGACGTTCTCTGGGGTCTCCTTGACCAAGAAGGGGTCTGTCCAGTTGGTTGGTGGCTTCGGATTTTAATTTCAGTTCTCAAAATATTTAATTTGATGAAATTTTGCCATATTTTTTCTTTATTTTTAAAGCCTGTTCTATTCTATAAGAAATCTTTCTACTCAGGATAGTGAATGTATTCTCATCTTTCTATGAGTTCCAGAGTTTTAGTTTTAATTTTTAAATCCATGACATCTAAAATTCTACTCCTAACCAAAACATTCTTGGGAGTTACCAAGGACAACTCCAAAAATCTTCCATAAATGGTCCTGAAAGAACTTACTGGAATCCTGGGCTGCAGGGCACAATGGCTTTAGTGCACCTCTGCTGTTAAGACTATTCAGAAATTGTCTTTGTGAACCCATCAGGCTGTTTAAAAATCAGCAATTTAGGGCTTGCATGCAACATGCAGTTATGCAGCAGCTGTAGTGGCCCATAAAGCTTCTCTTCAACTGAAAGAGGCCTGAAATTGCAGGAGGGGCGAGAGGAGCCTCGTTGAGCGAACGCAGCCCTTTGCCTGGCTGGCCCTGGTCAACAGGCTCGGAAGAGGCCGATTTGGAGGACAGAACGAAAGAAAAGACCTAAAGGTTTCGAATCTCATGATGTCAAGATGTTAAAGCCTAAATCCTAAGGTCCGACTGTGAGGGGGAGCGAGCGTGTCTCGAGCTGGATCGATCCTTGAGCCTTCACCTGGAGAGTCCTCTGCACAAGTTCAGAGAGCAGGACAGCTGCGCACCAGTGGTTCTCAACAGGGGGCAGCTTCGCCCTCACACACCTCTCCCATCCCCGCTGAGATACTAGGCCACGACTGGGGGGGAAGCGAGAGGGAGAATGTTAACCCCCTGGCATGTATCTAGTCAGCGGAGGCGACGGATGTTGCTAAACACCTTACAATCCACCGCGGGAGGGCCCCTCCCCCACCCCATCCCCACCCCATCCCCACCCCATCCCCACCCCGAAGTAGCCATTCCGCGGAGGTGGAGAAACTTGCGTGTAGATCAATGCCCACACACTTGGCCGATGGTAAATCACGAGTTGGTGACCAATTGGATCTTGGATCTGAGGAAAAAACTCCAGCGTCAGAGGGAACTCTCCAAGTTTTGCCCGGAGCAAACGGAAGGGTGGCGTTGCCATCTCCTAAGACGGGAAAATGGCAGGTGTCACAGGTTGCAGGGGAAGGTGGGAGACCAGTTGAGGGCCCCGGAGCCTTCCTGGAAAGAGTTTCCCATGCAGCCCGTTTCGGTTTCCGCATCCGAGTCCTTTATGATCTTGGGGGTGCCGGGGTCTGGGTCCTTTATGATGCAGAGGGTATCCCCGTCTCACCCCGGGCCCCTCCCCGCTCCCGGCTCCTCCTGGCAACCCGGTGCGCGGCTCTGGCCCTGGCGGCCCGCGACGGTCTCTCCACTTGCTGCTTCCTCGCAAAGGCGTATCTCTATGCCAGTGGTGAGCTGCGGCGGGGTCGCTGCAACTCGCCCCAGGACTCGGGACTCTGGCCTTGGTGTCCCTCGCGGAGCCCTCGGTGTGTCGCCTGCAGGCTCTTTTTTTTTTTTTAAGAAAGCAGGGAAGCAACGGCCATGTGAGACGACTCCAGGAGCAAAGAGCGACCCTCACAAAGCCCAAGTCCTCCCAGAGTACAGGGAAACTGTCGCTTCAGACCGAAGAAAGGAGAGAAAGCACCTTTTCCTATCTCCCTGGTGGTCTAGTGGCTAGGATTCGGCGCTTTCACCGCTGCGGCCCGGGTTCGATTCCCGGTCAGGGAATTGTTTTGCACTGGCCGCCTTCCCGCGGGAATCTTCCTTTATTACACTGTCAGCCGGCCTGCTCCAATGGCCAGATGCAGAACAGCCTCCGCAGCAAGGGGCACACCCGGGCGAAGTAGGGCAAGTCGTGGTGGACCACCTTTCACGACACACTGCTCCTATTTATGTCCGTGTCCGTCATCCGCAGACGCGGCTTTAGAGAGCGACTGAGCGTCTCACTCAGGTGTACACAACAGTGCAGAGATGCCAGCCACCCAATAAGCCCACCCTCTTTGCCGCCGCCGGCACGAGGCGCCTATCTGGCCAGGATGCGAATTAAGAGAGAGGCCACGCCAAGTCGTGGCGTTTGTGCGTGCCCTGGACACGAGTACCGACCAGTCAGCGGAGCCTCCTCACCCCCGTTCGCAGCTAACGTTCGCAGCTTAGGCCTTTGGACGAGGCGACTGGAGGCGATGCCCGCGAGGTTGCGAGGAGGGTGAGCCGCTGGTGAGGTCCTCGTCGGCGGTCCCATTTGCTGATTGAGCGGTAGAGGGAGGCGATGTTCGCTGAGCCAACAAAGACAGCAGGTGGAGTAGGCACAAATGGAAAACTGTTGCCGGTGCCCCAACAGAAGGCAGGTGTGAAAACCAGCACTAGGACGTCGAAGTGATGGTCTCACAGTTAAATCCCACAAAATCTACACTCCACCAACCACTTGCGCACGCTCCCCATTTTCCATTCAGTACTCCCAAGAGGGGTTCGGACGAACGCCGCGTCCACTGTGAGCTCAGGAGAGAGCGGGAGCCAGGGAGGTGAAGTGCACAGACTGGGGCAGAGGCGGCGGGCAGAACCGCGGGGGTGAGAGTGCGCGGTGGCTGCGGGGCGGGAGCCGCTGCTGAAAGTCGGCCTGGGTTGTGGTGTGGCGTGACTGTCGGTGGAATGTTTGGCTGAGAGTGGTTTGGAAGAATGGCGAGGGGCGGCAGTGGGTAGGGTGGTGACCCTGAGCGTCCTGCCAGGGTGAGGAGGCTGTGCTGTCCCTGCAGGGCCTGCGCTCATTCCCACTTACCTGGCAGAGTAGAGACCGTGGTCACGAAGGGAGTTCTCCCAGAGTGAAGCTTCTTCATCGCACTCTAGAGTTGCTGATTCCTGTAATTTCCTCAATGTGAGAAACGGTGTTTGTGCTAGAAGAGGGCTGCCCTCTTTACCTAACGTAACGGGGTTCAAGACTGACATCGCCTCACGCCCACCCGAAAATGTTTACGTGGCTTCCTTGTCTCTTTTTTTCTGTCCTAAAGTCGCCCCATCCTCACACCCCCTCATTTTTTTCCTCCACACTCGAGAGTATCTCTCCCTCTAATTAAAAGTTCCATCAAATATTTGAAATATCTCAACCAGAAAAACTGCAATAAATACATTATTTCATTCGTGGAAGCTACAGACCAGCTAGGTTGAGAGTTGCTTGATATTTTCTGCTAAATGGTGAGGCATAGGGCACTTCGACGGTTTCTCTTTGGGCCTTTGTTTATGTACTATTGGATTTCCTTCTTTTCCCCTGACCATATGGCACTGTGGGTCCAGCGGTAAACCCTGCTTTCTGGCTTTCTGGCTGCAGATAAAGGCGGCAGCTGGTGCAGGAATTAAAGCAAACCAAAAGACACATGGGTTCGCCCCAGTGGGTCCAAGATAGAGTCTGACTGTACCAGGATTCGGATTAGAACAGAGGTTGCTGCAGGCACAACGCAGAGTACTAACCAGTATAGAATCCCAAAGCACCCCACACCTACTGCCTGTCGTTTTGCTTTCCCACCCCTCTTTATTTATTTATATATGTTTTTTGAGAGACAGAATTTCACTTTGTCGCCCAGGCTGGAGTGCAGGGGCGCGATCTCAGCTCACTGCTAGCTCCGCCTCTCAGGTTCAAGCGATTCTCCTGCCTCAGCCTCCCGAGTAGCTGGGACTACAAGCGTGCGCCACCAGGGCCAGATAATTTTTGTATTTTTAGTAGAGAGGGGCTTCCACCATGTTGGCCCATCTTGTCTCGAACTCCTAACTTCAAGTGAGTGATCCACCCACCTCGGCCTCCCAAACGGCTGGGATTACAGGCATGAGCCACCGCGCCCGGTCCCCCGATTTTTTTTTAAATGTAAAAACATTTATGCGATTTTTACCTCTTTATTCTTGGGCAGCTACAGGTTCTTGTGATTTTCTCTCACGTCTTCTCCTCTCCATTCTGATACATGTCCCATCTTCTCTTCATCCAGCCGGCGCCCTCTGCACGGGCATCCTGGGCTGTCCCATTGTCTCGTCCTGGTCTCCCCTGCTTCTCCCTCCTCCTTTTCACCTTTTCCCTTTTGACTCCCTTGCCTCTTTCCCCCTCCCGCCCCACCGACCCGATCTACTGAAGCCGAGTTGAGTGAGGGGAGAGCAAGGGGAGAAGATGATTGCCTGAAGGCGGCGCAAGAAAACAGAGCCGTCGGGGCGTTTGGCTTCCCTTAGGCCCTACTAGGCTCAGGCTGGGGTCGCAGATCCAGGCATTTCCAGAGGCACTGGCTTCTGAAGCAGGCGAGGGTCAAGGCAGGTTGAAGGCCATTCGGCTGCCCTTCTGGCTTCAGAGTCATGCAATATACACATTTCTAACGCGCAACAACACGATTAGTCAACCCACCCTCTCCGGTTTTCCAAAGCTTTGTAGTCTGCACACTTTTCCTGCAGAAAGCGAATGGCAATCCCTAGAGTTAGTGATGGCTCAATCTACGTTGAGATGAAAGTGAACGCTTAATCTGTTTCGTTGAACATAAAGAACTGAGGTTGTCTCTGTGGCGCAATCGGTTAGCCTTTTCGGCTATTAACCGGAACGTTGGTGGTTCGAGTCCATCCAGGGACGTCCTTTTAAATGTTGGTATTTGTGGCCAGGCACAGTGGCTAACGCCTATTAATCCCAACGCTTTGATAGGCCGACGTAAGGAAACCTCACTTGAGCTCAGAAATTCAACACCACATGAACTTCTGTGAGAATCCCATCTCATTAAAAAAAAAAAAATTACAGTTGTTTCTCCTCAGGCCTATCACTGTATTTAAAAGTGAGAGACTGTTCCCTTGTGTCTTGTGCATCCCATAAGAACACAAAGCAAAAGGTGCCTCTCCAAGCCTCCTAAAAAATAAGATCCCTCCAGAAAAAAACTAGGTTGTATGTATGGGAACCTGAAAGTGTATGAAGAAAGAAACTTCAAAAATTCTGCCTTGCTTTCCACATTCTGCCTTCAAGTGATATCATACCTCTTCACATTACTCCTCTCCCTGCCTTTATGCTATTGTCATGCATTTTACTTTACACATGTTATAAACCTTACAGTCCATCTTTATTACTTTCGTTTAAACAGATGTGTTTTTGTTTGGTTTTGGTTTTTGTTGTTGTTGTTGTTGTTATTTTTAAGATGAGTCTCGCTCTATCAGCCAGGCTGGAGTGCAGTGGCACAATCTTGACTCACTGCAACCTCTGCTTCATGGGTTCAAGCGATTCTCCTGCCTCAGCCTCCTGAGTAGCAGGGATAACAGGCATAGGCCACCACACCAGACTAATATTTGTATTTTTAGTAGGGTGGGGGGTTCAGTATATTGGCCAGGCTGGTCTTGAACTCCTGACTTCAAATGATCTGCCTGCCTCAGCCTCCCAAAGTGCTGGAATTATAGGCGTGAGCTGCCACACCCGGCTAGTCAGATGTTAAAATTATATATTTGCCTATGTAGATGTCGTTTCTAGTGTCTTTTTTTTTTTCATCCAGATTTTCAGCCGGTGTCAGTTTCCTTCTGCCTGGAGGACTCCTTTAACTTTTTTTTTTTTTTTTGAGATGGAGTCTCGCTTTTGTTGCCCAGGCTGGAGTGCAATGGCACAATCTCAGCTCACAGCAACATCTGCCACCCAGGTTCAAGCAATTCTCCTGCCTCAGCCTCCCATATAGCTGGGATTACAGGCATGCACCACCATCCCCGGCTAATTTTTGTATTTTTACTGGAGGCGGGATTTCACCATGTTGACCAGGTTGGTCTCAAACTCCTGACCTCAGGTGATCTGCCTGCCTCGGCCTCCCAAAGTGCTGGGATTACAGGCATAAACCACTGTGCCTGGCTGTCCTCTTTCTTAATTCTAACATCATGTTAGGTCTGGTTCAATTCTGATTAACTGATTATTTCCCTTCTTTATGGGTCATCGTTTCCTGGCTCTTTGCATACGTGATATTCTTTAATTGGATGCTGGACATTGTGAAGTTTACCTTCTTGCATGCTAGCTATTTTTAAATTCCTTTTTTTTTTTCCTTGTCAGCTGGAAAGTTATATTTTATAATTCCTATAAATCATCTTGAATTTTTTCTGGGGTGCACTTAAGTGACCTGTAAACAGTTGGATCCTTTTGGATCTTGCTTTTATGAACTTTTACGTGGTTCAGGAGTAGTGCTCAGTCCAGGGCTGATTATATCCCATTACGAAAGCATTATGAATTGTGAATAATTCCAGTCTGACTGGTGCGAACAGATACTGTTTTCTGCACTGTGTGAGTACCAGACGCCATTCCATGATTTTCTTGGATGTTTGTTTCCCTGGTACTAGTCAGCTACTCTTTTCACAATCATGCACTGACTAGTGCTCTGCTGAATACTGGTGGCAGAACCTGTACATATGCCCAGATTCTCTCTGCTTAGTTATCTTCTCACTGGATCTTTGTCCTATGAACTCTGTCTTGCTCTCCCCAGACACTTAGCTTCACTTCCTCAATTCAGGGAGTCTGCCACCGAGCCTTTCCTTTGTGCCTAGCCTGGAAACAATTCTGCACCAGGCTGGCATTCCCTTCCATCCCACATGGAACTGGGGGTTCAGTGTAACTGAAAACATTTGGGCCATTACATTCAGTTTGAACCAGTTGATTTGCATGTCTGTAAAAGAGTCTGGAATGAACCCTAGGCCTAATGTGAATGGTGAACAAAATCAGATCCAGAAGTATTGAATGTATCATAAGCTAAGGAGAATTTTTTAAACTAGCAGCATTAGTGATTCAGGTGGAATGTATTTCTCTTCCCTAGGTTCAGTTTCTGGCCAAAGTATGTAGTTTTTTGTTTTGTTTTGTTTTCTCACTGTCAACATAACCTCATTTGTTGCATCTGTTGGAGTCTTTATTACTCAGGTGAGTCTGGTCTACATAGAGATTCAGCAGCCAGGTGCAGGGCCACTGTGAGCTGAGGAAATGTGGGAAAGAAAAATCCCATTGCCCCCCCCCCCCCGCTTTTTTTTTTTTTTTTTGGAGAGTCTCACTCTATTGCTCAGGCTGGAGTGCAGTGGTATGATCTCTGTTCACTGTAACCTCGGCTCACTGTTACCCCTGCTTCCCAGGTTCAAGCAATTCTTCTGCCTCAGCCTCCCCAGTAGCTGGGATTACAGGCACCTGCCACCACGCTCAGCTAATTTTTGTACTTTTAGTAGAGACAGGGTTTCACCATGTTGGCCAGGCTGGTCTCGAACTCCTGACTTCAGGCTATCCACCCACCTGTCTCCCAAAGTGCTGGGATTACAGGCGTGAGCTACCGAACCCGGGCCCCATTGGCATTTTTGGAATAAAAGATAGTAATACATTGTCTCCTCATCAACGTGTCTGCCTTGGGGGCGGGGTTGTGATACTGGAGGAATTAGTGCTTGGCCTGAAGGGCAGCAACAACCCCTCCAGCCCACCCCACTCACCTTCCAGAGTGGGAGGTAAGTTCTGGTGTGTTTCTATGGGTTTATAATCTTTAGAACTAGTAATCTTTTCACATTCATCTATACTCCTGGTGGATCCATGAAGTCCTGGCAAAAAATCATAAAGTCACGGTTGATCCATGACATTTGTGCTGGGCCTTGGGCAGAAACTGAACCTCCAGGAAGATGTGTATATCTGGAGCGGGCTGGCAGAAAGCTGTGAGGAGAGCCCTTGGACCTTTGACCTGGGTAAAGGGCAGATCCCTGAGGATTCAGACGCCTTGGCCTGCAGTTACACCAGTGCTGGCCACTCAGTGGTTCCAAGCAGCAGTCTGGCACTCAAGTGCCTAAGCGCTTCCTCCAGAGAATAGAAGGCAAAGCAAGCCCTGGATGCAGTGACCCCAGACCTGTCAAGGAGAATAGAAGGCAAAGCAGGAGACAAGGGTGGGAAAGTGGGTGAGAGCCCTCCGGGACCTGTACACCACACATCGGGAATTACGTCTATTAAAACTGTTGGTTCCTGAAGCCTCTGGAGTTTTCTGAGAAAGATTATTTAGGGGTAGGGAAATGTATGCATTGTTAACGTAAACGTATTTGAGACAGAGTCTCGCTGTGTCATCCAGGCTGGAGTGCATTGGCATGATCTCGGGTTACTGCAACCTCTCCCTCCTGGATTCAAGCGATTCTCCTGCCTCAGCTTCTGGAGTAGCTGGGATTACAGGCACATGCCATCATGTCTGACTAATTTTTGTATTTTTAGTAAAGACGGTGTTTCACCATGTTGTCAGGCTGGTCTCAAACTCTTGACCTCAGATGATCCGCCCACCTCCATCTCCCAAAATGCTGGGATTACAGTCGTGAGCTGCAGAGCCCGACCTAAAAATATTACTTTTGCGGGGCACAGTGGCTCACTCTTGTAATCCCAGTGCTTTTTGAGGCTGAAGTGGATGGATCATCTGAGGTCAGGAGTTCGAGAACAGCATGATCAATATGGTGAAACCCCCAGCTCTACTAAAAATACAAAAATTAGCTGAGTGTGTCGGTGCACACCTGTAATCTCAGCTTCTCAGGAGGCTGAGGCAGGAGAATCACTTGAACCTGGGAGGCAGAGGTTGCAGTGAGCCAAGATCAGTGAGCCGAGATGGCGCCACTGCACTTCAGCCTGAGCAACAGAGCGAGATTCTCTCTCTCTCTCTCTCTCTCTCTCTCTCTCTCTCTCTCTATATATATATATATATATACACTCCTCATTTGTGTGAATATGGAATATTGACTCCATATTCTTGGCTTGAGATCCAGATGCAGCTTCAGGGTGGTTTTCTCAGACAAATCAACCTGTTCCACATCTGTGCTCCGAGATGGAGGGCAGCCAAGCAGGACCCCCAGGAAATAACTCCTGAGCTTTCAGAGATGTAATCACATTGTCAGCCCATGGAGAAATTCCAGCATTGGAAGAGAATGAAGAGAACTTTGTGAGATTTCCTGATCTAAACATTGGTGTGTCGCCCTCAACCTCCCTTGCTGAAATGACTGCCGGGTGACAAATGTGCCCTTCCCTCCTCACCACTCTGACTAGCAGGACAAGGAATGAGGTTCGCTGTGAGCAGGTTTGTTGATTAGCAATGGCATTCCTTTCATGTTTCTTTAGAATCACCTACGTATTTCCAACCTTCAGGAAAGCAAGGGTGTTGTCGCCCGATTTCAAACCGGGGACCTTTCACATGTGAGGCGAACATGTCATCACTCCACTACACAAACCCCTCCCAGCTCCTGGCACAAGACACTTTCCTGAAAATGTTAGCGTTTACTGTTTTTAACTACTAGAGTTTCCAATATAAGAAATTCGACTGCTTTTCAAAATTTGAGTGAAAAAGACACCAGGAAACACAATCCCCCAGGCAGACAGGCTGAACCCTCATTTATGGTTCCACGCCTAGCCCCGAAGCCAAGACCCTAGGGACCCCCAGTCTGGCTTTGGGATCTCACATCTCATGCAGGGTTTCCAGTAACTAAGTGCCCATGTGTGGAATTCTCCCGGCTGATTCTCTCTGGCTGCCAGAAGCTGCAGGAGCTGGTGGGTTTTGAGCGTCATGTCAGAGTCAGACAGAAAAGATATATCAAAAAAAAAAAAAAAGAAGAAGAAGAAGAAAGAAAAAGGAA